GGGGAAGTAATCAGTAATTAGTTACTGATTACTTTTTTCAAGTAACTTGACCAACACTGTATACCAGTAAACACAGGCTGCTGGGAGGAGCCTGTTGCATGTGAAGGTGCAGCCCCGTCTGATTGTAGGTCGCGCAGAACGTTTGATTATTTGTAAATATTTGTTCCTGAATTCGAAGCAGCGAAACGTGCTGGTGCTTATTCTCTTCGTCTTGTTGCTTTCTGTTCTGTTTGCACGAACTGAACCCTCGGCTTGGACCGAGCTGCAGAACCACTGAAAAATTAAAACTCAGAATCCTTCCACACATTTTAATGACATTTTGTTTGTGTGTGTTGTTGTTGTTGCCTGTGTTTAATTGTGTAATATTTGTAACTGTGAGATACTTGCTGCTGCCTGTTTCGGCCAGGTCTCCCTTAAAAAGAGGTTTTGAATCTCAGTGGGAGGTTAAATAAAAAAGCAGGGACTAAAAGTGAAATATTTCAGGGATGTGATAGATTCACTGTGTGATGTTCTGCCATATCGTAGTGAGTGAAACGGACATTTTCCCATTTCCATCTTCCTCTTCCTGCACCTCCGTCCTCGGTCTTGGAGAGCAAACGTTTCAGGAAACACCACAAACGTCTCCCGGCGTGCGTTCCAGCTCCGACAGCGTTGCACTTAAAACGTGCTGTTTTTAAACCCACTGACCCCGATTCTTATTTCATGTCGTCTTCCAGCTTCGTGACTCCATCACTCCTTCATATGAATCGTGAGTTCTTGTCAAAGTGTGAACCAGAGAACATGACTGTTGATGCTGTCGAGTGTCTTCCCATGCTGACAGCCAGCCGGCTCTTATGTAACAAAAGTATTTGAATGGGTGGTTTTATTTCTGCCTGATGTTACTGATTGATTTGTGAAAGACTGTTCAGGGTCAGTAAGTGTAGTATAGTGCAGCGTGTGCAGTGCAGGACGTTACACGAGTCCTTAAAGATATTGTCCTGATGAGAGAAACTTTGCTTTGCTTGTGTAAAATGAAGGAGCTGAAAAAGGCTTGATAATGAAACCTTTTCATACCCTACAGTTCACTTTAGAAACACGCTGTGGTTTGCAGATACAAAGCCTTATTACCAGCCCAGACGTTTGATCTACAGCACAGTGTGTCTAAAAACATGGTTACGTCACTCAGAAACAGCAAGTTTTTACTCTACGACAAAGAGTTTAAGACAAAAAAGAAAAGAAAAAAATTGGTTACTGTTATTGTGTTGAGGACGTCCTCGCATACTAAGCTCGACATAAGCAGGTGATAGTGTGTCTATGCTTGCATAGAATAGCAGTACACTTATTCTGTCAACACGTCTCCACAAATCAGATTTTTTTAAAAACTTTATTCTAAAACCATTTCTTAGCCAACTTCATGCCACATGATTCCCTGACCTCATTATACCTTAGATCCACATTGTTCCACAAACACAGAGAGATGCATGTGGGTGTGTCACATTGGTTTGTGGCTTTTGCTCAGTTTTCCACGTTTGCGTCTCACAGTTACAGTGAGAGTAACGATGGAGCGATCGTACGAACAGCAGTGATTGCTGGCACGTCAAACAAAAGCACGTTCTGTTGTTTGCTGTAGGTCAGTGTTTTCACAAGACCAAGAAGTAAATTTAGCCCGTTAAGTTCAGATGGCTGCAAAGAAGCTGTGTTGTCCAGAGAAGCTGAGGTTGTCTTTAATCTGGCTGCTTCCAGCTTATCCTCTTACCTTTGCGTCTCTTGATCTGTATTTGTGAGTGTGAGATGAAGAGAGAGCGTGACTGACACGGCCCTGGTTCATGACTCTCCAGAACGAGAACATAAAGCGTGACTCGCGGCGGAGCTTAGCACGGTGAATCTGCTGCTAACGTGCTAGCTTGGATGCTATCTTGGAGTTATTTGAGTAGAAATCCTTGGAAATAACCTTCCAGGCAGCTGATGTGGGGAGTTTTGCTGTGCTACGTACTGGCGGTGGCAACACCTGTGTAAGGATGTTCCCTGGATAATGGTATGGTATCTCTGCTGCCACTCGGACAGAGTAGCACCTCTGGGTGGGTATCAGACCTGCAGGGCGCCATGACGTGTAACGGCCCGTCATCAGATCGGTTTTGTCATTCAAATGAAAAGTACCTGGATTTGTTTTTCGTTGGTAGATTTATGCGTACCAGCATCTGAGTAGCACATCTAGCATAGCAGCAGTGCAGGTCCTTGGGCTCTGTAAAAGTTAATGCACGTACTCAGAAGAGAAGACTGCTAAACTGAAGCTCATCATCATTATAAAGACGTTAAATCCAGCAAAGAATGGCTCTTGTGTGTCTTCGAGTCTACGCCAGTGTTTGTAGAAGTGAGCCTGTGGTGGATGGGAGATGTGCAGGAGTGGATCCAAAGTGAGCCTCGTGAGTTTTATAGATTAGCAGTCAGACCGTCATTTGACTGAATCAGAGCCTTCAGTAATATTTCTGGCTTGTATCATTTCCTCCATGCCGTCTCCGTACAGTCCCTGGTGTAAATCATTCGTTTTGTATTCAGTGTTTCCTTTAACTTTAAATGTCTGAACCAGGAAGTGAGAAAGGTCGTCGAGCTGTGTCGACGTCAGTGTCTTTACTACAGAGAGTTATAAAAACCTTCTCTGAGTCAGAGAGAAGTCTGGGCTTCAGCTTCACCTGCCTCCCATCACTGCAACCTGTTTGTTACCCGTAGCTGCTAAAAACAAGCTTTCAGCCCACCTGACCGAGAATCCACAGTCCAGTTTCTACCAGGAAGTGCCGGCCGTTTGATTCATACGTCTGCGTTTGACAACTATTATCGTTTTGGCTACCTGCCACAGGCTAGCTGACTAGCTGCTGAATCCAGTTAGCTTAAGCTGCAGATTAGAAAGTTAAAGGAGGAGGCTGGTTGTTACCCCGGGCGGAGCTTCATGTGCTATATCGGTCTGATCCGTATGACTGTGTGTGTGTTTGTGTGTGTGTGTGTGTGTGTGTGTGTGTGTGTGTGTGTGTGTTTGCTTAATTAGGAATAATTAGTTTATATGATCCAAACACAGTACTTGTGGACTTGTATGAAATTTCCGATGACACGT